TCATTAAATTAATTTTATTTGCAGAAGTTGTGTTCGTGTGATTATCATCAATTTTAACACCCAAAGCAATGTATAAAAGTCTATAAAATTAGCTGTGCAAGGAGAGAAAAACAAACGTGTGTGTGAGAATAATTACACATTTAATGAAGACGTAACTGTGGAAGATGTACAGGTTTTTGTTTCTGATCTAGTCAGCAGCAGAGGATAAAATAACTAATTATTGATTTATAAATAGTAGATATAGTTGCTTAATGTGATTATAATTATTCACATTACATGTTTAAACAAATCTTTTCACTTGTTGGAAAATTGTGAAAGTACAGAATCAATTGTATTTAAACTAAAGCAGAGATTTTTTTGTTATCTAAAAAGAATTAAAGATGCTGGAAGTTCAATGACAAGATACGAGACGCATCAAATCACACTTCTGAATTATTTCACAGATAAGGGAACGCTCATTAAGATAACAAAATAAGAGTCATAAAATAATTTGCTTGCACTGTCTCTGTATATCCTCCTCTAATGGTTTTTATCAACATCACTTATCAGCTTGATGCTTCATTGCACACAGCTGTAATATTGCATAAAACATCAGAGAATAAATCCGCATTTCCAGTCAATGAGAAACAGAAAGGAAAACCCTCAGTTCCTGATAAACCAGAGCAGATATGAGTCAGAAATGTAGTACAGCAGAAGCCACTGTGGTCTGTTTCATTGAGGTAAAGTTGGTTTTGTTTTCACACATTCCGACTTTCCACTCAATAATACAGTTTCACAAGCATTCTTAGGCCATTAAAATATGGAAATCATATAAAAGAACACTGTTTACAGTCAAATAAATATTGACAAATCTGAAAAGCAAGCATTTTAATTGATAAAATGAGCAATATCACACGAGTAGCAGTGCAGTGGGGATGTATATCGGTATGGTGGGAGGTGTGCGTTGGTTTGAGGCTGCAGGCCGAGTGCCTTATGACCCGTTTTCACTGAGTGGTCTGGTACCGTACGCTTTAATGGCCGTTTCCACTGTCAAAAGGCGTACCGAACCGAACCAAACCACTTTTTTAACACCCTTTGCAAATGGTACCAAGAGTAGCAAAATGCGGAGCTAGACGCGCAGCTGAAAGCTATTGGTTCACAGAGATGCGTCATTGGCTCGTGCACCAAGCCAAAATGAAAACAAAGGAAGCGCCTTGATTTAATTACACAGCCGAGAGATTACACCACTATAATATATACATATAATAACCAGCCATGGTCGACCCGAGCTCAAACAAACCTTGTCATCTTGATGAACAGCCACAAAGCCAGGAAGAACGAAATCTGCCGTGTCCTGATGTTGTTTTACAAGCCCGTCTAAACGTGCGAGCGGTTTCACTGCTGAAGATTGCATTTATTATTCATATAATATTTTGTGTTGTTTTTAAACCTAAATAAGGACTAAATGTCTGCTGTGTGTAGTTTTTCTGTAAGTGGTAGCATATCGGGGACTGTAAGGCTCTGTGTGTGTTCATATATGTTCATTAGTTTATTTATTTATTATAATTACAGACGTTACAGTAGGCTATTTCACACTATCATTGATCTGCAGTTATAATCAACTCATGTTCATAGAAAGGTTAGTGAGGAACATTTAGACAGTAGTTGTGTGTGTAAAGCATCTGCTTAGTGAGAAGTGCTTCTTGTAGGATATGCCAGTGACCCGTACAGCTTTACTGTAGACATTTCCTTGAGCGAAAATGACGTCGTCTGAATTTTCTATTGTACACCACGCCTACCAAAAGGGTTCCCTTTTAGCAGAGGAAACGCAAGCCTCAAAAAAAGGTGACCCGTACTGTACCGCACTGTACCACTCAGTGGAAACAAGCCATTAGTGTCTTACCAGTGTCAATATACAGCTATATGGCACGCCTACTCGTCTGATATTGTGTTTATTAAACTGCTCGACGGCATAATCGTGTAAATAAAAAAGAAAATCAAACATTGAGAGTCTCAAAATCTTTTTGTTTGAGGAACTACTTTCTTCCGCCATTCATTCACATCTGCAGCTGACCTCAGAACAGCAGAAACCGCTGCTCATTCACCAACAGCACTGTAGAGCTAGTGTCTGACTGATTCTCTAGCGTAATGTCTAAAGTGATGACAGAACAGCTGATCTTGCTCACACTTGAAGATTATAAGGCTGAACAGCATCAAATGCCATCAGTCTACAGAGATCTCCCAGTGTTTCTCTGCTGCAATCAGATCACAACAATTAACCCTGAACAAGCCAGAGCAAAGCACACGCTAGCAGATTACTGTGGTGTAAATACAGCAATGATGGTTTGATCAGCTGTAGTTTGTTTTTCTCCTCTAAGGATGTATTATGCGGTCTCTGTCGCCATCTTGTGGCGGATCATCAACTGTTATTGCTCTGCTCAGTGTGACAGGCTGATGGCCGCCAATGCACTGAATCTCCAGAATTATGAAGATTTAAATAGGCTCTGTCCTTATAAATAAACTGCACAGCTGCAATCTAAACAACTACATTCTCTCCTGAACGAGCCTCAAAAGTGCATGATGTTGACCAACAGCTGCAATATTTGTCAAACAGAGATTACTCTGCTGCTGTCACTCACGGCTATCAGCCAATCAGATTCATGAACCAGACAGAACTGTTGTGTATAGCAAAATCACGTGTCTTGTTTTCTGTATCAAAAAATGTATCAGACAGTGTGTTGAAGTATACATAAATCTATTGATATATATTAATTTTATGCATATGATTATTTATATATTTCTATATGTGAATATATGATTTTTTTTTTTTTTTACAATAATTAAAAAGTTAGAATCTAAAAATAGAATTTTGTGGAAAAAACATCAGTTTGTTTGTTTGTTTCTTTGTTTGTTTATTTACTAGTTTTTCCCCCTGATGGAAGCAAGTTTGCATAAACTTAAAGTAGGGCTGGAATAACTCGTGTGTGTGTGTGTATATATATATATATATATATATATCGCAATATTATTTTTTTTCAATAACGGTGATATGATTTTTAAACCGATTTCTGTTATTTCCATACAAATTTGCATAGATTTTATTATATTTCAGGTCTTATACATTGGATCATTTGTCACTGATGTTCAGTGCTCAGTTGTTAGAGAGCGTGTCGTCACTTGCGTGATGATGTACATCACAGACACGCTGCCAGCGCTCAGCAGTTGATTAGGCTGTGCCGCAGAAAGTTTTAGCCACAAAATGAGAGCCCTGGCCTGAATACAGATGTGAATAATGAAGCTTCCACTAGTAAGAATGCAGATGAATTAGTTGACTAGTGGTTCGGCTTTTTAAGTTCAGATAAACTTATAGTTTCAGTGCTCTGCAAGTTTTGCAGCAGATTGGTGCCGACTCGCAGTGGGAACACATCAGATCTGTTCCACCCGATAGAACATACTGAGAGTCAGAAGTCGCCTCACCATCCCCACCATCCACCTCCCCGACACCAGCGATGTCAGAAGAGAAGGCAATAAAGCAAACACAGACGGCTAGAGCATGCATATATAGCCATGAACACACGCGCATAAACACCCAAATAACACTCGTATACACACAAACTCACTGCATGCTGGCATATAGCACTCGTACAAACTTACAAAATAAGATCACCAAATACCTGAGAAATATGTTTGTGTATTGCAAAGCTGGTAAAATAGAAAGAATGTGATTAATAGAGGTATATAAAATATTAGTTGATAAAAAGCGACTTCTGGCTTTGCTCCTTCTTATCTGCTCTCACTTCTGCAGATGTATGTGCCCTCCAGAAACTTGCGTTCTGTGAATGAACGTCGCCTCGTGGTTCATCACAAAGAGGGAAGAAATCACTTTCCCGAACTCTCGCATTCAATCTGTCCAGTTGGTGGAATGAACTCCCTAACTGCATCAGAACAGCAGAGTCACTCGCTGTCTTTAAGAAACCAATAAAAACTCAACTATTTAGTCTCCACTGTCCTTCCTAATCTGCAATTGCCTCTCTGGATATCACACTAACTGTACTCAAAAAAAAAAAAGCAGAACAAAAAAATTTTACTAATACTTTCCTTCTTACACTTTACAGACCTGAAACTCGCCTACAGCACTTATTCATTGTTGCTCTTATAGTTGTGGAAGTTGCTTCCTTGTCCTCATTTGTAAGTCACTTTGGATAAAAGCATCTACTAAATGTAAATGTAAAAATAGACTATATAAAATATGTGCAAACTATTTTATTTAAAACCTTTTAATTTAATTAGGCAATTACATACACAAATATAAATAGACAGATAGAACCCTTAAAGCTTGTTCATGAGGAAAAGCAGCCAGAACTGAATATACTCAAACAGCTCTTCTCTTGCAAACATTAATGTAGCCCATACTCTTTATTTTTTATTATTTAGATTTTTATACTTTTTCTATGTTTTTTTAATGATGTGGATGTCATAATTGTAAGATATTGGTATTATTTTGATTGTTAAATATTCAGCATACAGTATACAAAAAAAACAAAAACACTGCTGATAAAGTTTCTGTTTATTACGCTGGACTAACTAACCCCCATGAACTATACATACATATATATATAAATAAGCTGAGTCTGAGAGTTTTTTTTATTTGATAGTTTATTTCAAATTTCTTGTTTGTAAAAGCTAAATACAAATAGAAAGTGAACTTGAATATTTTATACAGGTACAGACATCTATTGTGTGTGTTCTTGACAGTTTTTTCTTGTCTTTTTAATATTGTCCATATCGATATCAGAATTATATTGTGTCGACCGAAATGAAGAAATACATTGTGATATAAATTTTTGCCATATCGTCCAGCCCTGAAATAAAATGAGCTTAAGATGACAATAAATCTCTGCCAGATCAAGTAATATTTAAATAATATGATTTTTTTTCTTGGTTTTAATTAAAAACTCACTTGAACTTGAAGCAATATTGAGTATTTGTGCATGCAGTAACGCTGTACGTGTTCTGTGCAGGTGTCGGAGATGAGTTACCCCGGTTATCCTCCAGCAGGTGGCAGCTACCCGCCCGCATCCGGCCCATATCAGCAGCCGGCAGCCGGGTACCCTCCTCAGCCTGGAGCGTATCCCCCACAGGCCGGATACTACCCCCCGCAGCCCGGAGCCTTCCCCCCGCAGCCCGGAGCCTTCCCCCCGCAGCCAGGAGCCTTCCCTCCTGGAGCAGGATACCCTCCCCAGGCTGGCGGGTACCCAGCGGCCCCGGGTGGAGGATTCCCCCCGCAGGCTGGAGGATACCCCGCCGCTCAGCCCGGGGCATACCCTAACATGCCCGCTGCAGGTCAGACATGGGTGTTGATAGAGGGGATACAGCTGTGGTCGGAAGCTAATGAGAATTATTTAGATTATTTATTAAACTATCCATTAATAACAACACCTTGAACCTACACCTTACTGTAATGTCAAAACAGTCATTATAACGGCTGTTATTTATTATAATACCCCAATAATTTGGCTAATATTAGTCTACCCCTGTTCAACCCTCAGTAATATAATCCTATTAAACGGTCGTAGTTTTGTTGTCATGGTTACCTGTATCAAGGTCCACACTGTAAAAATTATTTCAATCATAATTTTAAAATAAATTGTATACATTACTGTAGTTATTGTGCAACAAACACAATGATCAATATTAGTTGTTACCATAGCAACTGTAGAATCACCACAACAGATCAATTACAGTAGTTGTTACCATAGCAACTGTAGAATCACCCCAACAGATCAATTACAGTAGTTGTTACCATAGCAACTGTAGAATCACCCCAACAGATCAATTACAGTAGTTGTTGTTACCATAGCAACTGTAGAATCACCACAACAGATCAATTACAGTAGTTGTTGTTACCATAGAAACTGTAGAATCACCACAACAGATCAATTACAGTAGTTGTTACCATAGCAACTGTAGAATCACCCCAACAGATCAATTACAGTAGTTGTTACCATAGCAACTGTAGAATCACCCCAACAGATCAATTACAGTAGTTGTTGTTACCATAGCAACTGTAGAATCACCCCAACAGATCAATTACAGTAGTTGTTGTTACCATAGCAACTGTAGAATCACCACAACAGATCAATTACAGTAGTTGTTGTTACCATAGAAACTGTAGAATTACCATAACCAATCAGTTGCTAAATATTTTGTTACCATAGTAACTTTAAAGTTGCTGCAACAAATAAACTACATTTGTTGTTGTTACCATAGCAACTGTAGAATCACCACAGCAGGTTAACCATGGTAAATTGTTGGACATTAGTATTGCCATTTCAGATTTCCTTATCATTTGAACTGTGATTGATTATGGCGATTTTGAAAACTGTATTTAATAGTAAATCCTTTAACATTTGCGAATGGCTGCAGTGTAAATGCATGTTTACAGACAGTTAATGAGTAGGAATATTGTATAATGTTCAGACTTTAAACCACTATGAAGAAATGAAAAGATACTCTGTATTTTAAGAAGGAGATCATGTAAAGTTAAACACCAAATTTATGAATTAATATAATTATCATGAATCATTTTAATGAGGATTATTACCACTCATTCCACACATTTAATAATTAAGCTCATGTGTGATCCCTACAGTTTTAGATTTAGATTTTTAGAATTGAGAACAACTACAAACTAGGATTAAATGAAACAAACTTTAGATTAAAATGTGTTTCCTGTTTGTCTCTGCTCTTCTGCATCATTCATATCTCTCTAAAGCTCTTTTTGTTTGGATTTTCATGTGGCTTGTGTTGTCATTGTGTTGTTAAGTTCTTGATCTGGTCTACAGGTGGATGGGGGGGCCATCCCGGCTTTGGAGCTGTAAGAAACCCTTTATTTCTGCTTCTTTCAATGCACATAATCACTTACTCCATGTTAAAACATTGCAGAATTACTGTTCAAATGTTATGTGATGTCAAGTGATTGTTCTTGTTGTCATGTGACCTGTAGCCAGCCGGAGGCATGCCCCAGGGTTACCCAGGAGTCCCAGCACCAGGACAGCAGCCCATGCCGGCATATCCTGGAGCTCCAGTCCCGAACCCAGGCATGCCCGGGTATGGAGGAGGCGCCCCGACTGGACCAACTCCACCCGCTCCTGCTATCAACGTAAGAGATTTCTACATTAACCACTGTTTTACTGTGGTCATTACATTATAACACATTCCATCAGTGTAATGCTAAAGTAATACTGCACTATACTTGGGTTTTTACTACAGTAAACTGGTGCATTATAGTATAATATACACTACAGTTGTAGAAAACTACAGTAATGGGTCATTTATTTAAATTAGTATAGTGGTTGTGTTGCCATAGGAACTGTAGAATCACCACAATGGATTAATTAATAGAGTTGTTACCATAGCAACTGTAGAATCACCACTATGGACCAGCTACTATAGTTGTGTTACCATAGCAACTGTAGAATCACCATTATGGACCAGTTACTATAGTTGTGTTACCATAGCAACTGTAGAATCACCACAACAGATCAATTACTGTAGTTGTGTAACCATAGCAACTGGAGAATCACAACAGATTAATTAATAGAGTTGTGTTACCATAACAATTGTAGTATCACCACAATGGAACAGTTACTATAGTTGTGTTACCATACCAACTATGGAATCACCACATCGGATCAATTAATATAGTTGTTGTGTTGCCATAGCAACTGTAGAATCACCACAAAGGATCATTTACTGTTGTTGTTTGTTACCATAGCAACTGTAGAATCACCATAACAGATTGAACACACACACAGTAGTTGTTGTGTTACTATAGCAACTGTAGAATCACCACAACAGATCACTTACTGTAGTTGTTACCATAGTAACTGTAGAATCACAACAAGAGTTACGTTATAAATGATATTGTAATTTTCAGAAACATTATCTTTTTAACTTTATAAGATTGTACATTTCTCACCTCAGTGTTCATTGTGTGTGTGTTGTTCAGAGGGGTTTTCGTGGGACCATAAAGGATTTTCCTGGTGCGGATCCTCTTCGAGATGTGGAGGTGTTGCGGAAAGCCATGAAGGGCTTCGGTGAGCAGAAATGCAGACAATAATGTTCATCTAACGCAGGGGTCACCAATCACGGTCCTGGAGGGCCGGTGTCCCTGCAGGGTTTAGCTCCAACTTTCCTCAAGACACCTGCCTGGATGTTTCAAGGATACCTAGCAAGACCTTAAGTACCTTGTTCAGGTGTGTTTGATTAGGGTTGGAGCTAAAATCTGCAGGACACCGGCCCTCTAGGAACAAGTTTGGTGACCCCTGATCTAACGGATCAGTCCAGAGTGAACATCTCCTGGTTTACTTCTTATTCACTGCCCCCCCCTCCTCATCCTACAAGATAATGCTTTCTTTCTGTCATGAAGAGATGGAGGATGATTTTACTGAGCATCATCATGAAACATCATGTGATCTGTTTTGTTGCAGGAACGGATGAAAACGCCATTATTGAGCTTCTGGGCAGTCGAAGCAACAAGCAGCGTGTGCCTTTGCTGGCGGCGTATAAAACCACCTACGGAAAGGTGAACAGGAGAGCAACCACACACACACACACACGTCTGAAAATAACAGCAGAAATACCTGACTCTGTGCTTACTAGCACTGCTGCTTCATTTCAGGCATTTTCCATTCATTACTCAATCTGGAATGAAACAAACAGAATCCCTTATTAATATAAAATAATGCCTAAATGTGATCAGTTAATTCTCTTACTAATTGTTGATTAACTTAAACTTTAAACCATTAAAGGAGTTGACAGCAACAGAGTGGACAAGTTAAACTCTTGTATGATTGCACTGGAGTCATTTCATTATTATGGACTAACGCTGTATATGATGATGTGTGCATGACTGCGTCTCTAATGTGTGTCAGGATCTGGTTCGTGACCTGAAGTCAGAGCTGACGGGACACTTTGAGGAGTTGGTTCTGGCCATGCTTAAATCTCCTGCACAGTTTGATGCATCTGAGTGCAAGGAAGCCATATCAGTAAGAGTTTTATTACTAATATATATCATTTATTCTGACACACACACACACACACACACACACCTGATATGACCTAAAAATCAAAACCTTCTATCAATCGCCTCTCATAGTTCATCATGTTTTCATTTGTACTGTAAATATACTGTAACTGCCAGCTTTGGATGTTTATATCAGGTTTATTTCTTCTAAATGTGGATTTAGTCACTGGATTATATACTTAACAGAACCGAAACTAACATCTACATTTTGATTTCATTTCACAGGATCTTTAGATTTGTGTTCTGGTGTTTTGTTTTGCTTTGCATGTTGACGTGACTGAAATGCATCCTCTTAAGTGTGTGTGTGTGTGTGTGTGTGTTTTCTGTAGTAGGATGATGTGTAATGCTGCTGCTCGAGTTACACAGAGCTCATTAATGAAACACAGATGCATAATTACAGAGCCGAGCGCAGAAACACGAGATGCACTACAGTCTGTGATTGTGGGAAACTTAACCCTTTCACACACTCATCCAAACAATTACATGCAAATATTTATATTTTTATGTGTAATATTTAATTAATAAATAATAATAATAATAATAAATTCCTCACATTTATATAGCGCTTTTCTGGACACTCAAAGCGCTTTACACAATGGGGGGAATCCCCTCATCCACCCCCAGTGTGCAGCATCCACCTGGATGACATGACAGCAGCCATACTGCGCCAGACCGCACACCAGCTGATTGGTGGAGAGGAGCCAATGATGATATGGGGAGGGTTAGGAGGCCATGATGACAGAGGCGAATGGGCAAATTTGGCCAGGATGCCGGGGTGAAACCCCTGCTCTTTTTCAAAGGACATCCTGGGATTTTTTAATGAGCACAGAGAGTCAGGACCTCGGTTTAACGTCTCATCTGCAAGACGGCGCTCACTGAGCAGTATAGAGTCCCCGTCACTATACTGGGGTGTTAGGACCCACACAGACCACAGGTTGAGCGCCCCCTGCTGGCCCCACTAACACCACTTCCGGCAGCAACCTAGCTTTCCCATGTGGTCTCCCATCCAGATACTGACCAGACTCAGCCCTGCTTAGCTTCAGTGGGCGACCATGTGAGAGTTGCAGAGAGCGAGCTGCCGGCATAAAGCATAAATGTATTATATTTTTATTATATTAAATATTATTTTTATATTTCATTTTTATATAAATTTACATATACATTACATTTAATAAGTTTTTAATAGTGCTTACATTTTTATTTATTTTAAATGTATTTAAGTTTACTTTAACATTTAACAATTAAAATAAATACATTTAATAGATGCTTTGATTAATATATTCATTCATTCATTCATTCATTCATTCATTTTCTTTTCAGCTTAGTCCCTTTATTAATCAGGGGTCGCCACAGTGGAATGAACCGCCAACTTATCCAGCACACGTTATACGCAGCAGATGCCCTTCACTGGGAAACTCATTCACACACACACTCATACACTACGGACAATTTAGCCTACCCAATACACTTGTAGCACATGTCTTTGGACTGTGGGGGAAACCGGAGCACCCGGAGGAAACGCAGAAAGAACATGCAAACTCCACACTGAAACACCAACTGACCCAGCCAAGACTTGAACCAGCGACCTTCTTGCTGTCAGGCGACAGCACTACCTACTGCGCCACTGCATCGCCTGATTAATATACTAATTTTTTAAAAGTCTGCTGTTACAGCATGACCTACAGTATGGGTTTCATTTGAAAAATATCTTAATTATATAATATATTTATATCAAATTTAATTAATTCACTCATCTTTAAAAAAATTTATATTCGAACATTTTTATTACAATTTGAATTGCAAATTTATTACAAAATGAATTGCCATTAATCTCATTTAAATAATAGTAATAATGTGTTTGTGTTTGTGTGTGTGTGTGTGTGTGTGTGTGTGTGTGTGTGTGTGTGTGTGTGTGTTTGTGTTTTAGGGTGCAGGAACAGACGAGGCCTGTCTGATAGAGATCCTGTCCTCTCGCAGCAATGCAGAGATTCAGGAGATCAACAGAATCTATAAAGCAGGTGTGTGTGTGTCTGTGTGTTAGAGTGCGTGCGTACATGTGTCTTTGAGTGAGTGTGTATACACTTGACATGAAAATATCTGAAAAAAATAAGCTGGCATGGTGTGTGTGTGTGTGTGTGTGTGTGTGTGTGTGTGTGTGTGTGTGTGTGTGTGTGTGTGTGTGTGTGTGTGTGTGTGTTTGTGTTGTAGAGTACGGTAAATCTCTGGAGGATGCCATCAGCAATGACACTTCTGGACATTTCCGCCGCCTGCTCGTCTCTCTCTGCCAGGTACACACTTCACACACTTCCTCAGAAGAAATTATACAGCAAATATAAAAATACATTAAAATTAACACACTAGGGGAATAAATCTGACTTCAAGAGTGTTTATTCTGCGTTATTTCAAGTTGTGTTGCAATAATGTGTGTGTGTGTGTGTGTGTGTGTGTGTGTGTGTGTGTGTGTGTGTTTTCAGGGTAATCGTGACGAGAGAGAGACTGTGGACATCTCTCTGGCCAAGCAGGATGCTCAGGTCACACAACACACTCTCTTCAACTCAATTACGCAAATCTTGGTGTTGTGCAGATTTTTTGATGTGTGTGTGTGTGTCTGCGTGTTTGTGTGTGTGTGTGTGTGTGTGTGTGGTTTTCTCCTGCAGAAACTCTACAGTGCTGGAGAGAATAAAGTGGGCACAGACGAGTCTCAGTTCAATGCCATTCTCTGTGCCCGCAGTAAACCTCACCTCAGACAGGGTAAACACACTAGTACTTTATAGTTGCTAGGGTGTTCTGAATGGTTGCTAAGGCATTTATGTAACAAGACAATTGAGTTATGATGTAAGCTTAAAAAAACTCAATTTAAGTCATTTATTGATTCACTCACCCGGCCACTTTATTGGGTACACCTTTTTAACTGCTCGTTAATGCAAATGTGTAATCAGCCAATCACATGGCAGCAGCTCACTGCATTTCGGCATGTAGACATGGTCAAGACCATCTGCTGCAGTTCAGAGTGAGCATCAGAATGGGGAAGAAAGGGGATTTAAGAGACTTTGAACGTGGCATGGTTGTTGCTGCCAGACGGGCTGCTCTGAGTATTTCAGAAACTGCTGATCTACTGGGATTTTCACGCACAACCATCTCTAGGCTTTACAGAGAATGCTCCGACAAAGAGGAAATATCCAGCAGTTCTGTTGGCGCAAATGCCTTGTTGATGAGGTCAGAGGAGAATGGCCAGACTGGTTCCAGCTGATAGAAAGGCAACAGTAACTCAAATAAGCACTCGTTACAACCGAGCTCTGCAGAAGAGCAACTCTGAACACACAACACGTCCAACCTTGAGGCGGATGGGCTACAGCAGCAGAAGAGCACACCGGGTGCCGCTCCTGTCAGCTAAGAACAGGAAACTGAGGCTACAATTCACACAGACTCACCAAAACTGGACAATAGAAGATTGGAGAAACGTTGCTGCTCTGATGAGTCTCCATTTCTGCTCACACATTCGGATGCTCGGCTCACAATTTGGCCTCAACAACATGAAAGCATGGATCATCCTGCCTTGTATCAGCGGTTCAGGCTGGTGGTGGTGGTGTAATGGTGTGGGGGAGATTTTCTTTGGCTCCATTAGTACCAATTGAGCATCAACGCCACAGCCTACCTGAGTATTGCTGCTGACCATGTCCATCCCTTTATGAGCACAGTGTCTCCATCTTCTGATGGCTACTTCCAGCAGGATAACGCAGCATGTCATAAAGCTCAATCATCTCAGACTGGTGTCTTGAACGTGACGATGAGTTCACTGTACTCAAATGGCCTCCACAGTCACCAGAGCTCAATCCAATAGAGCAGCTTTGGGATGTGGTGGAACGGGAGATTGGCATCATGGATGTGCAGCCGACAAATCTGCAGCGACTGTGTGATGCTATCATGACAATATGGAGCAAAATCTCTGAGGAATATTTCCAGCAGCTTGTTTAATCTCTAACACCAAAGGTTAAGGCAGATCTGAAGGCAAAAGGGGGAACAACACGGTACTAGAGAGTGTACCTAATAAAGTGGCCAGTGAGTTTGTCAGACAGTGTAAAAAATACAAATACTATATAGTTGCTAGGGTGTTCTGAGCTGTTGCTGCGGTGTTTCTGCATGGTTGCTTGGGTGTTCTAAAGTGTTGCTTAGTGGTTGCTAAGGCATTACTAGACGGTTGCTAGGGTGTAAATAAATGATCGAGCCTAATATTTCAGTAATATGTGTGTGTGTGTGTCTCAGTGTTTCAGGAGTACCAGCAGATGTGCGGTCGGGACATCGAGAAGAGCATCTGCAGAGAGATGTCTGGAGACCTGGAGTCCGGCATGGTGGCAGTGGGTGCGTGCTCAAATCTGATTGGTCCTCAGCAGAAACATCAGCCAATAGCAGCACAGCAATATTGTTTTGAATAAGATGCAGATTTGAGCCTGTGGTGATTTGCATATGTAAATATCACTCAGTGTATCAGACACAACAGTCAAATCACCGCCAGGTTAGAGCGAGAACACACACACACACACACACACACACAGTGCATTCACATCAGGACTTATCTGTGTCTGATCTTATTGTTCTGATTGTTGTGAGTGACTCTTGATCTGTTTGTGATGTTGGGAGCAGATCGTGTCATTAATTCTTTATTCTTGTGTTGTTTTCAGTGAAGTGCATTAAAAACACTCCTGCCTACTTTGCTGAACGCCTCCACAAGGCCATGCAGGTACAGTAGAGGAGCGTATTAGAGAAATGTTCAACACATCTCATTCATTTACAAGCCGAGTCATTGAATATAGACTCACACACACATTCAGTTTTATTACGTGTGTGTGTGTTTGCGTGTGTGCGTGTGTGTGTGCGTGTGTGCGCGTGTGTGTGAATGCAAGTGTGTGAGAATGCATGTGAGTGTGTGTGTGGGTGTGTGAATATGCAAGCGTGAGTGTGTGTGTCTGTGTGAGAATGCATGTGTGTGTAAAAATGTGATTGTATGTGTGTATGATTGCGCATGAATGTGTGGATGTGTGTGAGAATGAGTGTGTGTGCTTCATTTGTGCATCTTGTTTGTGTTTATGCATGTGTGTAAAAAGTGTATGTGATGTGTGACCTGTGTGCATGTGAGTGTGTGTGTGGATTTAAGTGAGAATGCATGTGTATGTGTGTGTGTGCGTGCGTAAGTGCATGCGTGCCTGTGTGTGTGTGTGTGAATATGTATGCGTGAATATGTGCCTGTTTGTGCATGTGAGTGTGTGTGTATTTGAGTGTGAATGCATGTATGTGTGAGTGTGTGTGATATAGTGAATACATGTGCGAGTGTGTGTTTCTGTGCGTATGCAGGGGAGTGTGAATGTGTTTGTGCATAAGTGTTTCTGTATGTGTGTGCGCATCCGTGCGTGTTTGTGTGTGTGTGTATCTACACACACTGATGTTGTGCTGGTGTTTCAGGGCGCAGGAACTAAAGACCGGACTCTGATCCGCATCATGGTTTCCCGCTCTGAGCTGGACATGCTGGACATCAGACAGGAGTACCTGCGGCTGTTCGGCAAATCCCTCTACACTCACATCTCTGTACGACACACATCTACATATTTATAGATATTTAAATTGCTTAAAGTGCAACTGAAAGGCTTAATTATGTTTATTAGGCAAGTCCTGAATCAATGTGTGTCGTGTTTTCGTCAGGGTGACACTTCTGGAGATTATAAGAAGCTGCTGCTGAAACTCTGCGGAGGAAGTGACTGAAGAGCAGGAGGACAGAGCCGTTTCCATGACGACTGGATATCTGACATCATATTAATATCACTCATTTATCGATATGTCAGATGTGTCATGTTAACTGATCCTGTAATCACACCTTTATTAAGTTCACAACCAAAATAGCATTTCATTTGTGCCTTAGACACGTACAGATAATAATATTGCAGTCTATATTTAGCCGTCTAACCTGACTATGCATGATATGTAGAGGATACAGCTGTCTTTTGTATTTGTGTGTACAGTACTGTCTTCAGATGCCAAAACCAAAACTGCAATCATCTCTTCTGTGAAAATCATCGTTCAGATGCCTTGGAAATATTACACTTGAAGTTCTGAAATGTTTCTTTATGTAAAGTGAGCTTTATATCTCTATGCAAGACACAAATATATATTGAATTATGACAATCTTTATGAAGGTCTACGTGTGTAAATCTCACAGAAACGTCTCATAATTGACCCCAATATCAAGAGAAATCAAGAAATACTTTGCTTATAAAATGTAAATCCTATTTTAGGAATGTTTTTGGTTATATTATAGTTTTTTCATATTACAATTAGGCATTATTCATCCTTAATTTACATTAATGTATCTGGCTGTTTAATTTGTGCATGATTTATTAGTGGTAATTCTTAATAACTTTGCTGGAAAAACATATATATTTTCTTCTTTTTATGCAACTTAAATTGTTTTTAATGTGCAAAAAAACTGTTTAAGTTGCATAAAAAGAAGTAATGCATAACATGTAATGCATATTAATGGTCGTAAAACAGGCTTAATTTTCATGCATGTTTTATTATTAAATGTTTAATAATATTAATAATTCTTTGATTTGCTTTATTTGAGTCTGGGGTGAGCTATGAGCAGTTTCAGTGAGGTTTGACCCTGATTATTATAGTGAATGTGCATCTCTGCAGCAGTAGAGGGCAGTGTACAGTGAGCAATCTTTCCTCATGATAATCATCATCATCATCAGTAATTAAACAGGAGGTTCAGCCTGTTCATCATCATGAAGACAGACAGCTCTAGTTTTCTAACATCTTCACTCTAACCTGTATTGTATAATAACTCGTGTCTGATTAATAAAGCACTCACAGCTCTTGCTTTAGTCTGCAGTTTTTATCTCACTTGTTGTTTATCTCTGGTTAAAGAGTTGACATGACCAATGAGCCACACTATATCCTGTAACACGTGAAAAACACGGGTAATTTATAGTAAATACTGTACATAGTACATACTACATAGACTGTAAAAGCTTAACATTAACATGTTGGAGCGATAGCCATAACGCCACTGCATCAGTGACGCTACCATTAGTGTAATGGAGCAAGACCGTCACATTAGCATATGCTAAACTTAGCAGAAACGTATTAATTCGAGAGCTTTGAGTGAATGTGTTAGCTGGTATGCGTTTAAAAATGTTAGCAAGAAATTAGCATAGTGCTAAACTGCTAGAAATTGCCAATTCTTGTTAGTAAAAAAACAGCTTAAACCAGCCTAGGCTGGTTGGCTGGTATTAGCTGGTCATTTTCCAGCCAGACCAGCTAAAACCAGACTGGAAATGGCTGGAAACCAGCCTGGAAATGGCCAAAACCCCTCTAAAACCAGCCTGGTTAACCAGCTAAAACCAGCCAACCAGCGCTGGTTTAAGCTGGATTTTTCAGCAGGGATAACGTCTTATTATGTTAAACTTGCTAATAAGATCCTAGCTATGCTGACCTCCTCACTCGTTGCCTATAGTGTTAAAACATGCTAACGTCTACGTGGTAACGATAATTACGTTTAACATGTTAGCAGCAATTTTGTGTAAGTCAAGTTAACTTTTAAGCATATAGTGTTAAATTTGCTACGTTTTCATTTAAGTTAGCATTAAACAGCATAGATGACGATAATTACACAAGCGCAGCATGTTCAAACACATTTATGTGCTAAAACGTGTTAGGAATGTGCTATCAACATGCTAAAATGTGTTAGCCGTGTGATAAAACTTAAAATAGTGATGTATTTGTTCTCTTTGTCTACCCTGACAGACTGTTTGATTCAGGTAAGGCTTTCTCAAGTCAACACAAATGTGTATTATGACACGTTTCTCAGCATGTTGTGTTGTTAAATGTGTGTATTTGCTTATTTAATAGTGCAGTTTTCTCCTGCTGTGCTCTTGTGGAGGCATAAAAATAGCCTGTATTTACATTTCAAAGTGTGTTGGGTCTGTAAAGAGGAAAGAAAGAACAGTGTGTGTGTGTGTGTGTGTGTTTAGATGTAGTTCTCCATTAATCAACACACACACACACACACACACACACACACACACAGCTTTGCTGCTAAAGGTAAAGTGATGCTCTGATGCTGATGAGAATGCAGACCTCTGATTGGCTGATTGGATAAAAGGCTCAGCGCTCATGACCTCTGGCCTTATATAACTGTGGATGCATGTGTGTGTGTGTGTGTGCATTTGGTTGTGAATGTGTTTGGTTTGTGCGTGTTTTTGTGTGTTTCTGCATGTGGTTATGTTTGTGAGTGTATATTTGTTTGTGTAAGTGTGTTTGTGTGTGTGTTTGGTTGCATGTCTCTGTGTGCATGTCTGTGTATTTGTATGGCAGTTGTGTGTTTATATGTGTGGCTGTTTTTGTGCATGGTTGTGAGATGTGTGTGTGTGTGTGTGTGTGTGTGTGTGTGTGTGAGTGTGTATATGTGTGTGTGTGCGCGCTGCTCTCTCACAGGCATCATCTGTGTGTTTGTCTGACACACTTCTGAAAGCCATCTGTGATCAGCCGTATGTATTTTTAGTCTTTTTTTGAGGGTTTGTTTGTCTGATGAAGATTAAGAGCCGCTGATCTGCCTCAGCGTTTATAACCGCTGACAACAAATCCTCAAATCACACACGACTGACACACACACAGCAGGAGCTTAAGCACTACACACTATTCAGATGACATGGAAACCAGCAGAAGAATGAAGATCTTTTCTAGAAATGTTGCTCAGTAGATTACTTCCTTCAGCTTAGTTCCTTTATTAATCAGGGGTCACCACAGTGGAATGAACCACCAACTATTCCAGCATATGTTTTACACAGCGGATGCCCTTTCATCTGCAACCCAGTACTGGGAAACACCCATATACACTTATACACACACACACTCATATACTATAGTTACAGTTTAGTTGATCAATTCAGCGCATGTGTTTGGACTGTAACCGGAGCACCCGGAGGAAACCCATGCCAACACGGGAAGAACATGCAAACTCCACACAGAAACACCAACTGACCCAGCCGAGACTCAAACCAGAGACCTTCTTGCTGTGAGACCACAGTGTTAACCACTGAGCCACCGTGCCACCCATTTTCAGCAGCATCTGAATACCATTTGTAAATTCATATTAAGCTTATTATAATTTACAAAAAATATCAATAAAATATATTAAATAATCTTTAAATTTACATTTTTATTTGATCTAATTTTAATTTTCAGAAATTATAGTTTGATTAACTAAAATGACTAAAACTTAAATAAAAGAGTGAAACTTAATAAATAAATAAATAAAATAACAAAAAATACAGAAGAAATCTCTACGTAAAATTAAAATTCCAAATAATAACAATCTAAAATATTATACAATTTTCCAAACTATTTTATGTGTAACGGCCAGCTAGTAGGTGCTGTGCAGGTAAACCTCACTCCTTTGACCTCTAAACATGCTCTAGCAACAGGTACTAGGGGTCATGGACTTTAGCCTCCTTGTTAGAACTACTGAATTCCATGCAGAAGGTTGCTGGTTCAATCCTGGCTCGGAGCAGGTCAGGTGGTGTAGGAGCAGTGGGGTTACATATGCATCAGACATTTTTTGCTATTGTCTAATATAGTCCTGTCTGTTCTAATAAAAATACTTCATTTGAGGTTTGAGAGGGTGTACCACTGCTTGTTTATTGAGTTGTTGAATATATTACATTAATCTGTGACAGTTGTTCTGTGTCCTGTTAGTCTTTTCTATTGCAAAATCCCTCACTCACGTTTCCTTGATCTAATAGCTAGACCCACATTGAATCACGTAGACTTCTGCAGATTTTCAGCCGATCGTTGATTCTGTTTATTTACTTGTGTGAATGTGTGCAAATCTATATTTATTCAGTTTTATTTGATTATTTTCAGTAATATTTTTTGACTAATTTGAAAGTGTTTGTTTTATTTATTTACTATGCATTTTGTCACATATTTCCTGTCTTTTAGTAGAGATATTATATGAGAGACTTGCTTTGTTTACCAAATAAGTCAATCTGATTAGATTTGCACTGTAAACATTAAATAAGAGTAAGTTTTGAGTTTTTAGTTATACTCTGGTATCACGGTGGGGCAAGTGGGTAGCACGATTGCTTTACAGCAAGAAGGTTGCTGGTTCAAGCCTCGGCTGGGTCAGTTGGTGTTTCTGTGTGGAGTTTGCATGTTCTCCCCGTGTTGGCATGGGTTTCTTCCGGGTGCTCCGGTTTCCCCCACAGTCCAAACACATGCAGTACAGGTGAATTGGGTAAGCTAAATTGACCGTAGTGTATGAGTGTGCTTTCCAGTACTGGATTGCAGCTGCAAGGGCATCCGCTATGTAAAACATGTGTTGGATAAGTTGTCGGTTCATTCCGCTGTGGTGACCTCTGATAAACAAAGCGACTAAGCTAAAAAGAAAATAAATAAATGAATGATTAGTAGATATGTGGTTTTGAGATCACCATTACATAATTTACATGCACTTTTTGTATATATTTTACCCTATTTAAATACTTTTTAAAATGTTTAAGTCTCATATGTTTTACAATACTCAACATTTATAATGTATATGTTTAATGAGAATTTGACACATTTAACATCACGAAAAACACTTTTTTGAATATTTTTTTATGTTGAAGTCAATATTAAGAGATATTAGGAGATGACATCATCACCACACGCGGACAATTCCCGCTAAATCATATACACAAACAAAACAAATCTGACTTTGTACTCGTCTGTAAATCAATAATCGCAAGTGAACGCCTAGGTGTGTTTGATGTGAAGCCCCGCCCCCGTGTGATCCACTCCCTTTTAATTGGTTTGAGTGGCACATAGCTGCCCCGCCTTTTCTCGTTGCCCTCTAGTTAAACCGGTTTGATTGGCAGCACATATCCCCGCCCTTCATCATTCCCCCCTCCCACTCCTGGCTTTTGATTGGCAGATGAGAGCAGCTGCGGAGTTGTGGAGTCATGGCGGAGCTCCGCCGCGCCTCAGATCGCTGGAGTCACGGATTTTACATCGCTGATAAACTGTCAAAACTTTAGAGTTAATCAAAGATGTTCGAAAGCGAGCTAAAGTTACGAGCGCTGTCACAGTGCAGTTAAAACAGTCGGACAGAAAGAGCTGACAAAGATGTGAGACTCCACAGAAGGAGAAGGAGGAGGAGAAGAAAACCGTTGGAGTGTCCTAAAGTCGCAAATATGGCTACTTGTTTCTTTCACTTGGACTACTTCAGAAACTTTTCGCTTTTTATGGATGTTTAGCGATGGAGGCCAAGCACAGAGAGCTGCTGGAGCAGTGGCAGCAGAAGTTCCCGGAGTCCGGCACAGATGTGGAGCGGCTGCTGGAGCTGCTGGCCGAGCGCGGGTGTCTGAGTGCGGCCGAGCGCGCGGAGATCCGGCGGAGCGGCGGCGGCGGGCGGGAGAAGATCCGGCGGCTGATACACACTCTGCTGGAGGACCAGAACCAGAACCAACAGCGCTTTCAGGAGCTCTGTTGGGCTCTGGAGAAAGCACAGCCGGGGGACAACCAGCAGCACAACACGGGTAACACAACACACACACACACACACTGGGGAAAACTACACAAACACGGGGAAAACTACACAGAGAGTCGAGTAAAGTTGCGCAAACACTGATAAAATTAATCACAACCACGGGAAAACTACAAAACCATGATAAAACTACAGAGCCACGGGTAAAACTACTCAGACATGAGTAAAATAGTGCAAACACTGGGCCAACTAATTTACACAGAGACCCGAGTAACAGCACAAACACTGGTAAAACTAAGAGCAGTCATGGGTTAAACTATATAAACTAGATAAAACTACACAAACGTGAATAAAACTACACACAGAGTTAAGTAAAATAGCACAAACACAGGTAATGCAACACACACTGGGAAAATTACACAAACATGGGTAAACCAGCATAAACATGGGCAAAACTACATACAAACATTGGTAAAACTACACAAACGTGGGTAAAACAGCACACAAACATTGGTAAAACTACACAAACATGGGTAAAACTACACACAAACACAGATAAAACAGCATAAACATGGGCAAAACCGCATACAAACATGGGTAAAACTACACAAACATGGGTAAAACTACACACAAACAGAAAAACAGCATGGGCAAAACTGTATACAAACATGGGTAAAACAGCACACAAACACTGGTAAATCAACACAAACGTGTAAAACTACACACAAACTGGCAAAATTACACAAACACTCACTGGTGAAACTGCACAAAAATGGGCAAATTTACACACAAACACAGATAAAACAGCATAAACATGGGCAAAATTACACACAGGCATATGTAAAACTACACACAAACACTGTTAAAACTACACAAACATGGGTAAAACTACATAAACATGGGCAAAACTACACACACACTGGTGAATCTATACAAACATGGGCAAAACGACACACGAACACAAATAAAACAGCATAAACATGGATAAAACAGCACACAAAGACTGGTAAAACTACACAATCATTTGCAAAACTACACATAAACACTGGTAAAACAGCACACAAACTCTGGTAAACTTACACAAACACGGGTAAAACAGCACACAAACACACAACTATGGGCAAAACTACACATAAACACTGGTAAAACAACACACAAACACTGATAAGACTACACAAACACTGGTAAAACTGCACAACCATTGGCAAAACTATACATAAACACTGGTAAAACGGCACATGAACACTTCAATTTGACCTATTTTGTGTAGTTTTACCAAACTAAAGTCAAAACCAATAGTTTAAACCAAAGCCAAACCATAGTTTAGTTTGTTGACATTCAGGCAAAGAACAGACATTTAACCCATATACCAATGTGTGCATGTGCATGTGTGTGTGTGTGTGTGTGTGTGTGTGTGTGTGTGTGTGTGTGTTTTGTCTTTGTCTGCTCAGACAAATCCTGTAGTGTCTCCTTACAGAAAACATGGCTAGTAGAGTTGTGTAAATGTCTCAGTGAAGCGCCGTACAGTAAATCTATTACAGATGTTTTCAAGATGGCCAAAAAAGCTCCTCAGACGTGCAGAGATTGAGCCGTAAGCCAGGAATAGCTGCTGTCTATAAAATAATGCAGCTTAAAGCTGGATCAAATAACATTACCTTGAAAGCCTTGTTGCAGGAATCTGATTGGATGACACAGAAACACATGTGAGTAATGTTATCTGACTGAAAGATCGAGTCATTTAGAGTTTAATGGAGCGTTGCAGATCAATTAGAGCAGTTAGAGATGTGTGTTGGACATCGATATAAAGCTTGCTGGGGGTCTGTTGTTGGCTTTTTTAGCGTAGTTGATCACCTCGTCTGAACATTTCCTCTCTCTCGCTCATGTGTTTCTTTGCTCTGGGCTGTTTTCAGTGGGGCTTCAGTTAAAATATAGGCTCCTGATTGAGTCCACAGTAGGTCAGCTGACTACCGACATGATGGAAAAACACAAGCTTTGTTTAGATCCACCTACTTGTGTGCATTTTGGATTATTGCATCAAAAAGTTGTGCATAAATTTAGAAAATGCACATAAGATAAGAAAGTTGCACACAACTGAGTAGGTTAAACATTTCCTCTGATAATAATAAATGTGCATAAACTCTGCAGTAAACCGCTGTAGTGTGTGCGACTGCGCTTCATCAGTGTCTGCGCCTCAGTTTGTGCTGATCAGATGATTTGACCGATAAATGTGTGTGTGTGTGTGTGTGTGTGTGTGTGTGTGTGTGTGTGTGTGTGTAGAGGGGTTTGTGTCATTAATGTTGGTCTGCAGATGTTAATGTGTGTGTGAGGGTCTTTGTGTCAATGTTGGTCTGCAGATATAAGTGTGAGTGTGAGGGTCTTTGTGTTATTAATGTTGGTCTGCAGATGTAAATGTGTGTGTGAGGGTCTCTGTGTTATTAATGTTGGTCTGCAGATGTAAATGTGTGTGTGAGGGTCTCTGTGTTATTAATGTTGGTCTGCAGATGTAAATGTGTGTGTGAGGGTCTCTGTGTCATTAATGTTGGTGTGCAGATGTAAATGTGTGTGTGAGGGTCTTTGTGTCATTAATGTTGGTCTGCAGATGTAAATGTGTGTGTGTGAGGGTCTTTGTGTCATTAATGTTGGTCTGCAGATGTAAGTGTGTGTGTGAGGGTCTTTGCATCATTAATGTTGGTCTGCAGATGTTAATGTGTGTGTGAGGGTCTTTGCATCATTAATGTTGGTCTGCAGATGTAAGTGTGTGTGTGAGGGTCTTTGCATCATTAATGTTGGTCTGCAGATGTTAATGTGTGTGTGAGGGTCTTTGTGTCATTAATGTTGGTCTGCAGATGTTAATGTGTGTGTGAGGGTCTTTGTGTCAATGTTGGTCTGCAGATGTAAATGTGTGTGTGTGAGGGTCTTTGCATCATTAATGTTGGTCTGCAGATGTTAATGTGTGTGTGTGAGGGTCTTTGCATCATTAATGTTGGTCTGCAGATGTTAATGTGTGTGTGTGAGGGTCTTTGTGTCATTAATGTTGGTCTGCAGATGTTAATGTGTGTGTGTGAGGGTCTTTGTGTCATTAATGTTGCTCTCCATGTTTTCTTGTACTCTCTGATAAAGTTTTGTGTGTGAATCTAATCAGCATCTCTGTATGGAAACGCAGCTAATGTGAAGCACAACAATTAAAGGTGAGAATGCTGCCCTGCTGGAGATGAGCTGTAATGAAGGCTGAGTTTAGAGCTGCTCTTACAGACCGCTCTGTTTCTCAGGGCTGACAGTAATGAAGGACACACAGATTTTACCCAGCATGCCATCTGGCAGACACTGAGAGGCTCAACAGATCCAGCACCGTTCCCTATCAGATCCAAGTTTTGGTTGTCCAGTTCACAGCTGTGTGTGTTTGTGTGTTTGTGTGTGTGTGTGTGTGTTGTGTTTGTGTTTTGTGTGTGCTTGTGTGTGTGTGTGTGTCTGTGTGTTTGTGTTTGTGTGTGTGTGTGTGTGTGTGTTTATGTGTTTATGTGTTTGTGTGTTTGTGTGTTTGTGTGTGTGTGCGTGTGTGTGTGTGTGTGTGTGTGTCACCATAAGAGAATTAAAGACTAGTCCAGTTTATGGTCTGTTCTTTGCCAAGCTTCATGCTCTGTTTAAATGCCAGAGACACACAGACACTCACGCAAATACACAGGTAGAGACACACATGCACACACAGACAGATGTACACACAGAGCGACACACAACACAGACACATGCGTACACACAGACACACACATCACATTAAGTGTATGTGTGTCTTTGCATGTGTGTCTGTGTGTTTGCACACATGTGAGCGAGTGAGTGTGTGTGTGCATGAGTGAGCTAGCGAGTGTGTTTGTGTGTTTGTGTTTGCATTTGCATGAATGAAAGTGAGCATGTGTGTGTGATTGAGAGTGACACACACACACACACACAGTCAGTCACACACTCGCATGTCTATATTTCAGTTAGACGTGCACACAGGCTTTCTCACAGGCGTGTCTCAGTAGTGAATACCCTGCCCAGGGCGTTATTCATTCTCTCTCTCACACACACACACACACACACACACACACACACACACACACACACACAGAAACCTGATTCACCTGTGTTTGTCTGCTTCTCTAATGTTCAGATTCATGTTCAACATCCACTGAACACTCAGATTTCATGCTCACTGATGACGGAGTGTGTGTGTGTGTGTGTGTGTGTGTGTGTTGATTGCTTGATTATTTGTTTGTTTTGTTCAGGCTCCTCCTGCAGTGTTTTGTCTGCGATGCCGTCAGACTCTGAGAGCAGCAGTTCTCTCAGCAGCGTCGGTGAGTTCATCACTCAGTTTATTTGCATTTTTTTTCGTCTGTAATGAACACACACTCCCTGACAGAAGTCTTGTGTTGGATCTCGGCTGTGAGAACAGCAGATAGTATCTGGTCTTCTAGTTGATGATGTGTGAAAGTGTCAGAAGGTGGATTTCTCTGCTGGATCATCTGCTGATCTGCATCAATCATCACCAATACTGCAGAAGACCTACTGGAACCAGCATGGACCAGACTCTCACAGAAATCAGTCAAGTTTGGTGAAGGAGACATCATGGTTTGGGGGTCATTCAGTATGGGGGTGTGCGAGAGATCTGCAACATCAACAGCCTGAGGTATCAAGACATCTGTGCTGCCCATTACATTACAAACCACAGGAGAGGGACAATTCTCCAGCAGGATAGCGCTCCTGCTCATACTTCAGCCTCCACATCAAAGCTCCTGAAGGTCAAGCTGCTCCAGGATTGGCCAGCCCAGTCACCAGACATCAACATTATTGAGCTGATGAAGGAGGAGGTGTTGAAGATGAACACAAAGACTCTTGATGAACTCTGGGATCCTGCTGAAGCTTTCTTCTTCATTCCAGATGACTTTATTAATCAGTGATGTGAGTCATGTCAGAGATGTATGGATGCAGTCCTCCAAGCTCATGATGGAGTCAGACACAATCTTCATTCTGTCTCCACTGCAGCAGGACTTTATATTCTATACTGGACATTATTTCTGTTCAGTGATGACACTTTAGTCTGAGCAGAGTCAGAGCGCACTGTCCTCATCAAACCAGTCAACATCAACACATGATCAGATTTATTGAGCTCAAATCAGCAAAATCTAGAGGCCTTCACCTTTCATAAAGACACTTCTGACACCAGATCAGCAGCTAGAAGAACAGTTAGTATCTGTGCTCCTCAATCTTAGGAGACAAGACTTGTCAGGTAGTGTAAATATTTAAGAAAATTGCATTTTTCCAGAAGACAAATGTAATTAATATCTTATTTTTGATTTTTAATGACTTGATTTTCTTTAAAAAAATGTAAAAATAACATTCAACATGCCTTGTTAAAATAGGATTAATATTATACTTAATTATACAATTAATTTCAAACTCTTTGTGTTGTCTTGTGAACTCAGACTTGTTGTTTTCTGCGGTGTGAGGATGAGACGGCGCGTCAGTGGCCCAGATAAACTCATTGTTTATTCAGAACATCTGTATGAACACCAGAGCGAACTCTCGCACTGAAAGCAGACGCTTTCCAACCTTATCTAACCTTTACTGAGAAAAATCTAATATATAAACTCACTATATTTATATAATCCTTTCCAGGCATTATAGATCTTAATATCCCACTGAATATAGACAATATATTTACAGCATTTAAACAAAACTGGTGTATTATATATAATGGCTCTATTCATTAAAAAAAGAGTTTACATGTGAAATCACATGCTGGAATATTTGGTGGTTCATTGCTCTGTGGTGACACCTGTTAAATGAGGGACTAAGCCGAAGGACAATGAATGAATGAAGAGTTTAAAGTATATGTTCTGTGAGTTGAGATTATTATGGATTTTAAAATATAGATTTAAAGTATTATTAAGTCAGGTATTTAATTCACCTCTTGAGTTAAGTAACTTTCAGACTAAGTAATTAGAAAAGTCATTTAAATAAATATTTAAGAATGAAATTACTAGTTAAATATACATCTTTCTAAGATATGTTGTTATCATGATATGATGAGACTTCTATTGTGATATGATCATTTTGTCCTGATTTTAATGTGCATGAACATGGGGAACAGTGCTGTTTCATTCACTTATGTGAGTGTGTGTGAGGTACACGTGTGCATTTGTTTGTGCATGTGCATGCGTGTGTCCACGTTCATTTGTTAGTGTGTGTGTGTGTGTGTGTGTGTGTGTGTTTCAGCATCCTCCCCTCCTGCACACCTGGAGAAGCAGGTGTTAAGTGAGAAGCTGGAGCCGCTGTTGTCTCAGCTCAGACAGGTGACCCGTGAGCGCGATGACTTGCGCATCCGCCTGGCGCTCTCTTTACCCGGCAGCACATTTGATGAAAACACTGCAGCTGCCGCAGACGCCAGACGGTGAGCACACGCATTCACACTTAAAGTCCGGTGCACACGGGACACTTAGTGTACCCCTCACACACAGTCACATACAGGGATGTGAAAAAGTGTTTGCCCCTTACTGATTTCTTAATTTTCTGCATGTTTGTTGGAGTCTGGGCTGGGTCAATTGGTGTTTGCATGTTCTCCCCGTGTTGGTGTGGGTTTCCTCCGGGTGCTCCGGTTTCCCCCACAGTCCAAACACATGCGCTATAGGGGAACTGATCAACTACACTGGCCGTAGTGTAAGAGTATGTGTGTGAACGAGTGTGTATGGGTGTTTCCCGGTACTGGCTGTGGCGACCTCTGAAATAGAGATTAAGCTGAAGGAAAATAAACGAATAACTGAATTAAAATAGTATAAAATAGGAATGCTCAAAATAATCGATTAACCGTTAACCGAAAGGGTGCGTTTGTGACCGATTAATGCTATCAGTTAAACGATTATAAATATTATTTTATATATTTTTAGTTTGGCTGCATAAGGGGCTGATTGAATGCGCCTTTGCGTTAAGAGGGGCATCTTTTGCACGCGGCTCATCCCAGAGCAGCAGTTTGTGTTGTCAAGACAACTACAGGGAACTTTGAAAGAGCTTGGTTTCCGCTACATTCATTCTTCCATGGCGGGGACCAAAATGCTTCCCTCCACGGCTACATTACCCATTCAAAACATTCAGTCATTGTTGTTGTTTTTAATAGCGGATTATAATCGCATCAAAACGTATTAAAAGGTAAGTGAATCATAACAGCGGAAACTTTTCTGTAACCGTATAGTTCTGTGCGCTATCTGTTTAATCATTTGGCGTTACGTGCTGACTGACTGACTGACAGGTGCGCGATGCGTGAGGCCAGCAAACATGCAGAAGCTTTCAGTTAAGATGAACACAGTTTCTATAGTTATACTTTATTTAGAGATAAAGGTATATGGCTCTGTATATAATCACTCTATCTTGCTGGAGTTTATAGCCGTTTCGCTTTACTTCAGGACGCATTAACGCCGCTCTGAAGGTCTAATCGCTGTTTTAAGTTATCCAGAGCTGGATGAATGGACAAATCCTGAATATCACAATATTATTAAATATTACAATTGTCATACATGTTAAAAGGCAAACTTACTGTTTTTGAGAAAATGTGGGCACCCTTTATATATCTTATTTCAAATTCAAATTTCAGAAATTTATTAAATAGAACAGGAAAAGACGAAATAAACTGACATTGACTAAGCATATCTAAATATTCCCCCTATTTTCAAAGAGTTATTTAAACAAACCATCTGATGATCTGGTTCATGCCTTCTATAGATTATTTGTATTTTCAACAACTTCCAATTGTTGTATCTAGAATAATCTGTTACTAACTCAAACACCCTGTGCCCCCCACCCCTTTTTTTTCTCATTTCCTTTTTATTCCTTTTTTATGCTTTTTTTTGTTGTTGTATGCTTTTTATTATTTATTATTTATTTTATTGTTTTATTTTTTCCTCTAAATTGAAAAAAAAGATGTAAAATATGATTGTGATGTTATATTGTCATGTTTTTATTACATCTCAATAAAAAGATTGTTCAAAAAAAAAAAAAAAAATTACAATTGTAACAACACAGACAGCAACACTTTTTGCACAATCGATACCCAGCTGATTCAGTCGTTTCATCAGAGGACCGCGCTTCTTCTCTTTTTTTTCCCTTGTCAACATAAAGGCAGTGAGATGCGCCTTGTTTTCGACCACTTGTTCAACTGCAAGACAATTTAACTTGCCCGGAGCTGTTCTATTATTAATGTGCTAGCATTTAAAAATAAATCAGTATTTTAAAACGCAATAATAATGTGTCGGACACAAAATAGACACGTCAATTTGTTTAATATAAAATTAATAGTAATCTGACCAGTTAATCGTTAATAACCGATTAATGAGCGGCGGTTGTCGGCTAGCAAAATTAACCAAAATGAGCATCCCTAGTATAAAAGCATGTAAATAATGTCATGTTGTAGCTGTGGCGACACATCTCAGCTCTTCATTGTGTTCAGTTCAGTGTTTTAAAGTGCTGTAACCCTGACAGGCAGACTGCTTTATACGCATAAATAAACAATCTTTACTTTCATTAATATTTTATACAAGAGGCTTTTTGCAGTTTTTGTTTCTTCACCTGAACGCCCACAGATCTGTCTAAAAAAATCAGAGCTGATAGTTTTATGTGCAGGTTGTCCGTGGGGTTTTAAAGTCTTACTAGGGAAGGCTACCTAAACTATACTTCATTTGTATTGGTGCTACATCATAAAAGACCAAAGTATGGATAAGCTCTGACGTTAACGGTTCTGTTATCGGTACTGGAAAATTATTGCTGAATGTACATTACTTACAGCAGCATAATTAACTGACCAACCTTTTCTGATTTGCAATATTTGATATTCGTCTTCACAGTTGGCAATCTCACATGAGCAGTGCCAGTGTTTCCGGCGAGCACGTCAAGTATAAAAGCCTTCACAGTTCTCGGCTGTGTGCACGTACTCAGCACATAATCATCAGCATGATCTCATCTAGCTGCATTTTGGTAATCAAAAAGGGTATTTCCATCTGCAGGAGCACAACTAACCAAGAGATCCTGACTTCTGTCTGAATTGGCAGAAATGACAGAGTCATTTTCCTTCAAAACACTGTTTATTTTACAATTATTGGTTTTGTTTTATTTTACATTAGAAATGTAATAATAAAATAGTGTTATTAATTCTGTTCAATTTGTTTTTCGCCTTTTCATAAAAAAAACACTACAAAAAGTACCGATAAGAGTACCGCTAAAGTACCGAAACGATAAGTGGTATCGATAAAAGTAGTAATACCGCTAAAACCTTAACCACACCCATCCCTAAATCTTTATCTTTATTAATAACATTTCAAAAACTTTCTGAGATGTTATCCATAATGACTTTTGCAGAAATCTGCAGAAACCCTGAATGTGTGTGTTGAGATTGTGTGTGTGTGTGTGTGTTTAGGCCGAGTGTGAAGCCGGGTCATGATTATGAACACATGAAGCTGCAGTGCATGAAGGCCATGACGGACCTGCAGAGTCTGCAGAACCAGCACAACAAAACCCTGAAGAGATGCGAAGAGGCCGCCAGAGACGCCGATTACTACCAGTGAGTGTGTGTGTGAGAGAGAATGTGTGTGTTTGTGTGTGTATGTGTGTGTGAAAGTGAGTGTTTGTGTGTGTGCATGCATGTGTCGCTGTGTGTGTTTGTTTGTGTCAGCAGTGTGTGTGAGCTTGTATCTGAATGTGCATGTTTTTGTGTGTGTGTCTGCGTGAGTGTGTGTATCTATGTGTGTGTGTGTGCCTCTGTGTGTGTGTTTGTGTCTGGAGTGTGTATGTGCGCGTGTATTTGTGTGTGTCTGTGTCTGCGTGAGTGTGCGGGTGTGTTTGTCTATGTCTGCAGTGTGTGTGGCTGTATCTGCGGTCTGTGTTCGTGTCTGTGTAAGTACGCGTGTGTGTGTGCGTCTGTTTGCGTGAGTGTGTACGTGTGTGTGCATGCATTTGTGTGTCTTAGTGTGTGTGTGTATGTGCGTGCATGTATCTGTGTGTGTGTATGTGTGTGTCTGTGTCTGCAGTGTGTGTGTATCGGTGTGTTTTTTTCTGAGTGTGCACATGTGTCTGCATGAGTGTGTGTCTCTGCGTGTGTTTGTCTGTGTGTGTGTGTGTGTGTGTGTGTCTGTCTCTGTGTTTGTGTGTGTCTGTGTGAATGTGTGTGATTTTTGTGTATATCTGTGTCTGCATGAGTGTGTGTCTGTGTATGCTGTAAGTGTGTGTGTGTGTGTGAGAGAGGGATGCAGATTACAAGCAGTGAGACCTCTGTATTTATTTGTGTGTGTGTGTGTGTGTGTTTCAGCACTCTTCATGCACGTGTGGTTGGCGAGCAGACGCAGCTGCGGGACGAGACGGAGGCGGTGAAGCAGAAATACACACAGCTCCTGCAGCAGCACACACACATGCAGCAGACCTGTGACGAGCTGCGGCACACACACGACAGTGACCAGCGTGAGCTGCAGGACCTGCGCATGCAGCAGCAGCAGGTCATCATCATACACATCATAATAACATTATTAACATATGATCAGCTTATAATAGACACGCTGCTGCACATCTCAGTGTGTCTGAAGAGCAACACAGCCAGGAACTGTGCCCATAACTCCAGCTCTAGAGGAGTAGCGTACAAGTTTGCGATGCAGTCTGCTATGTTTGTAAGGACAGAACTTGCGGCTGTAGTCTAGTAGTCTCGATGGTTTTGGTAATCGCACCACAGGTTGATTTGAGCTGCTGTTTCTGTGATTTCTCCTGCAGGTGATGAGGGAGAACGGCTCCTCTGACCTGCTGAATAAACTCTACGACAGCGCTTTAAATAAGCTGGAGGCTCTGAAGAAGGAGTACGAGGCTCTGCGGAAGCGCTATAATGAGCAGACGGCGCTGCATAACGCTGACGTGAGCCGGTTGGAGCAGCTGGAGGAGGAGAAGCGGCGGCTGCAGAAGCAGAGAGATGCAGCGCTGCACTTCCAGCAGCAGTACAGCGGATCCATGCACAGGTCAGCAGCACATCATCACATGCATACTTTAGATTTAGATTTCCCATCCTCCACTGCCGCCTGGGCTGGTTTGATTTAGGGTTGCCACAGTACGGAAATTTCAGTATTCAGAGAAAATACCAGGTAAAATACACACTTACCAAAGCTAAAGTAAAAAACGGGTAACACTTTACTTGAAGGGGTGATCATAAGACAGGTTATAGAAGCTTTATAATTATGACATGACACATGTAATGAATGTGACTGAGATTTTATGCATGCTTATAATAACTTTCATTAAGTGCACATTATGACATTTTATGTGCATAGTTGACATTGACAACTCGACACGACAATCAATCAGTATAGTTTATTAAGACAGAGAAAGAGCATGAATTACTAATAACATATAAAGTAGTCAATATTACTAATATCTTGGAATGGGTTTCCATTTATTTTAATTTTTTTAACCAGTTGTGTATGCTCTGGTCTGCCCTCTAGTGGTGGAAATGATTTAAACATTATTCAGAGCCATTAGATGCAGCAGTGGTTCTCAAACTTTTTTCCTCAAGTACCACCTCAGAAAAAAAATGGTCTCTCCAAGTACCACCAAAACGAGCTGTATTGAAATACAATAGCGTAGTAGGCCCAGTAAAGCAGCTACACCTCTGCACAGTTAAAAAATGTGGTAGATTACCTCAGAAATAAAGGCTATATGTTATATTTGGCATATTATATAGATAATTTTTGATATTTTTTTTTATTGTGTGTAGCATGTACATGACATATTTCATTCCTCCGGGTACCACTAGAAGGAAGCCTGCGTACCACTAGTGGTACACGTACCACAGTTTGAGAACCACTGAGATACAGCATCCCACGGGTTCTCAAACTTTCACTTCAAGGCCTACCTTCTTCTCCAAACATTGCATGAAGGCCCACACTGATTGTTTAGAGAACATGCTTATTTTATGGCTTTGTTTATTAGCAAAACATTTATTTTGCCTTCTGAGTTTTTACTGCACTGAAGTGTATTTTCCTGTCTTACTGCATAAGTTATTACGCCACATGCAGAAATACTAACTATAGTAAATACTACAGTGTTTGGAAGCATGCTATAGATGAATGCTTGAATTAAACTGTCACAGTAATGATATTGTTGTGCAATACGACACTGTATTAATAAACAAATTCAAGCTGCTTTGGAGCAATAACTCTTGTGCTATATAAACTTGAACTGAATTTATTTGAGCCTCTTATGTGTTGTTCTGCAGGTTTGAGAGTGTTCAGCAGGAGCTGAATAAGCTGTCGGTCCACAACGAGGATCTACAGAGAGAGACAGAGCGTCTGCAGATGGAGAACACGCGCTGTAAAACCCTGCAGCTGAAGGCGGTGAAGGACGCTGAGAAGCTGAAGGAGGAGCGGGACTCAGTGCTGAGCGAGTACCGGCTGATCATGAGCGAGAGAGATCAGGTCATTAAAGAGCTGGAGAAGCTGCAGAGCGGCCTGGAGGCGGCAGAACACAAGCTCAAAAACACCTCCAGCGAGAGGAGAGTCGCCGGCGAGGAGATGGAGGCGCTCAGACAGGTCAAACACGCAATACACACTCACGGGAATAAGTTTGCACCCCCCTGCATTTTATTCTGCTCCCTTAACTCAAACTGTTTGCTTATTTTAGAAAGTTTCAACAGATGCATCAATATACTGTTAACATATATTATACATAACAATAATATTATTACATAATAATGAGTACAGCCCATTCTGAAAACTAATTTAGAAAATATTTTGGTGCATTTAAAGAAATTAGTTTAATTATAAGGTTATTCTTTAAAATAAGAGTTTAGTCACCATCTTTAGGAATAGAAAGATAGTACATTTAAATGGAAACAATATATTTCAACAATACAAACTTACACTACAAAATTTCATTTATGTTTCTTAATTTTATTTAATATTTTCCCTGACATATTATGTTGTTTTTAAGTTTTCATTGCAAATGTCACGTCCATAACGCTGAAATTGCTCACATAACACCTAAAATAAACAACAAACACTCACTGGCCACTTTATTAGGTACATCTCTCTAGTACCGGACCCCTTTTGTCTTCAGATCTGTCTTAATCCTTGGTGTTGTAGATTCAACAAGCTACTGTAAATATTCCTCAGAGATTTTGCTCCATATTGTCATGATAGCATCACACAGTTGCTGCAGATTTGTCGGCTGCACATCCATGATGCCAATCTCCCGTTCCACCACATCCCAAAGCTGCTCTATTGGATTGAGCTCTGGTGACTGTGGAGGCCATTTGAGTACAGTGAACTCATCGTCATGTTCAAGACACCAGTCTGAGATGATTGAGCTTTATGACATGCTGCGTTATCCTGCTGGAAGTAGCCATCAGAAGATGGAGACACTGTGCTCATAAAGGGATGGACATGGTCAGCAGCAATACTCAGGTAGGCTGTGGCGTTGATGCTCAATTGGTACTAATGGACCCAAAGAAAATCTCCCCCACACCATTACACCACCACCACCAGCCTGAACCGCTGATACAAGGCAGGATGATCCATGCTTTCATGTTGTTGAGGCCAAATTGTGAGCCGAGCATCCGAATGTGTCAGCAGAAATGGAGACTCATCAGAGCAGCAACGTTTCTCCAATCTTCTATTGTCCAGTTTTGGTGAGTCTGTGTGAATTGTAGCCTCAGTTTCCTGTTCTTAGCTGACAGGAGCGGCACCCGGTGTGCTCTTCTGCTGCTGTAGCCCATCCGCCTCAAGGTTGGCCGTGTTGTGTGTTCAGAGATGCTCTTCTGCAGAGCTCGGTTGTAACGAGTGCTTATTTGAGTTACTGTTGCCTTTCTATCAGCTGGAACCAGTCTGGCCATTCTCCTCTGACCTCTGGCCTCATCAACAAGGCATTTGCGCCCACAGAACTGCCGCTCACTGGAGATTTCCTCTTTGTCGGAGCATTCTCTGTAAAGCCTAGAGATGGTTGTGCGTGAAAATCCCAGTAGATCAGCAGTTTCTGAAATACTCAGAGCAGCCCGTCTGGCAGCAACAACCATGCCACGTGCAAAGTCTCTTAAATCCCCTTTCTTCCCCATTCTGATGCTCGCTCTGAACTGCAGCAGATCCTCTTGACCATGTCTACATGCCGACATGCAGTGAGCTGCTGCCATGTGATTGGCTGATTAGACATTTGTGTTAACAGGCAGTTGGACAGGTGTACCTAATAAAGTGGCGGTTGAGTATATATAGCATTAGCATAAATAAGTCAGGCACTGCTAATCGAATGCCTGAACTGATTATGAAAACAGATTAAATAAAAATCAAGCCTCCTGTTTTTGTCTTGTAATATCCTGGATTTACCGTTTTCTGGTTGTTTTGTGTGCAGGAGCTGAACTCGGCTCTTCTGGACCGTGATCGTGCGATCCGGGAGAAGAATGAGCTGCTAGAGAAATACTGTCATGAGGTGCAGGATAAAGCCGAGACCCAGAAAGAGCTGAGCCAGGCCTGCAAAGACATAGAGATGGTGCGAGAGGAGCGAGACGTGGCCCGTAAAGAGCGAACGGAGGCTATTATACAGAGAGATCAGCTGCTGAGAGAGTATTACCAGGCCAGACAGGTAAACAGCCTGTACCACAAAGCTGGATTAGCTGGTTAGGTTTCAGTTTATTTTGGAATAATCCTGGGTTTTGGGTAGCATGAAGAGAGGGATTCCAGGGAGAGGATTTGTTCAGGTTATGTTCAAGATATGCTTTGGTTATGTTAAGGTTGTGTTGAAGATATTTAATGGATATGCTCTGGTCATGTTCAGGATATGCTTTGGTTATGTGCTCTGGTTATGTTCTGGATATGCACTGGTTATGATCAATATATGCTCTGGTTATATTCAGGATATTTCAGGATATACTCTGGTTATGTTCTGGATATGCACTGGTTATGTTCAAGGTGTGCTCTGGTTATGTTCTGGATATGCTCTGGTTATGTTCAGGGTTTTCTGTATATTTGAAGATGTGCTCTGGATATGTTCAGGTTATACTCTGGTTATGTTCAGGATATGCTCCGCTTATGTCCTTAATATGCTCTGGTTTTGTTCAGGATATGCTCTGGTTATGTTCTGGATATGCTCTGGTTATGTTCTGGATATGCTCTGGTTATGTTCAGGTTGTATTCTGGTTATGTTGTGGTTATGTTCAGGATATATTCTGGTTATGCTCTGGTTATGTTCTGGATATGCTCTGGTTATGTTCTGGATATGCA